TGAGTGCTGGAGGCCAGACGTTTAATTTCTCCTCCTCCTTCTTTTACCTCAGCCTAGGGTATATTTAGTTCATGGATTTGAGGAGGTCATTTTGCTCAGTGTTAATGATGACATTGATTTTTACCAATTGAAATTATTTATTTGGAATCTTGGTTTACCCCTCAGAGCTCAGGAATCTTTAATGAATACTGTTGAGGGCTGGGGAGGTGGCCTAGTCAGCACTGTGCTAGCCACAGCAGTCAGCCCTCAGCTGTAGAAGCCAGGTGTGGTGCTCTGTCCTATAGTGTCAGCCCCAAGCACAGGCACAGTAGAGTGCATGGGGCTTGCTGGCCTTTCCTACTTCTTGAGTTACAGACCAGGGACAGAGCCTGTCTCAGCAAACAGGGTGGATTCCAGCTTACACGAACAACAACGACAAAGCAATGCTACCGATTCTTTTAACAATGTGACACAAAAGGCAACACTCATGTAAAAGGGATAAAATTTTATTCTCAAGCCAAATATGAGTGACCATGGCCAAGGAAGACAGACTTAGGCCTCTACAAATTCCATATTTTAACATGGAAGTAGTTTCAGGAAGCTTTTATAGTAACAGAACAAAGGAACACAGAAAGTCGCAAATGAAGGCATGTCTTAAAACATTAGCAAACGAGATTCTCTGCTCTCAGCTTCAAATGCTCGCTGATGTCATCTTAGCCTTTTGGTGTGTGGGGCGGAGAGCTAGGTTTCTGTACATTCCAAAGGACTTACCTAATTAATTGTCCCAAAGATAGTAGCTCACACATCAGGAGGACAGTAAGGACTATTGAGAGGGCTGAAGAAGGCCCAAGATAATTTGGCTCTGGATGCTTGACATTCCAAGCTCAGAGTCCTTGGTGTTCTCAACTGGTGAGTCCTGCAGATGTCCAGGGAAGGCTGTAGCTTCCCAGCTCGAGCTTCCTTCACATCTAGAAAGTTCATTTGAACGTCCGCAGAGCGCCGCTAGTGCACGGCTTATATCTAGACACTGAAGGAAAAGCACAGAACATAGATAAATAAAAGACTGAAGAAGCAGGATGGCAGGGGCCTCCCTCAGTGTAGTTTCCAGCATTCAGGCCCCATTATGGACCTTGCTACATC